GACTGACAGATGGACGGACGGACGGGCGTGCTTAAATCTATTCAGAATTTAATGCTGATCAAGAATGTATATACTTTGCGGGATCTCTGATACTTCTGTTTGTGCGTTGCAAACATTTTGACAAAATGAATATAGCCCTCATGCTTCGGTGATCTTTACCTAAAATCAAGACCTAAAAGTTGTAAAATATTCCCTTGAACGACATAAGCGGATCACTTTGTTCACAGGAACTCTTTCCATGTTGGCCTATTGAAAAAACCCAGAAAATCTTTATAAGACTCGTATCACATTTAATTGAATTCACATACAGAGAATTCACATTTAATTGGATTCACATAAGAGCAAGTTACATTATTTCACCTATTGAGGTGAATTTAATTGCTCTAAGGTTCCTATGCATTACAGGTTACAGTGTTTTTGCTACTCTAGCCTTACTTACGAGTGGTGATCGTGTGATTTTATTGGGCATGTGTGTAATAATTCAATTGTGGAGCGGAGCACTTGAATCATGGACGCAAAAAAGCTGTCCGAGATAAATCGAATCAGAATTTCGGAATGCTAATAAAGGCTATATGCAGTTTACAGAATTTCTGTCGTAAACCTGCGCCCAAACTGAAGCACCCGAAAGGGAAATCTCCAGTGCTACTTTGTATGTATAGTACCAAAAAAAAAAAAAAAATGTGTAAGGGGGGCATAGTTGACATACTCAAAGAATAACATGCATTTGCACTTGCATTTGTGGAATAATAATAAAAAATAATGGAAAACGGAAACGGCACTAGAGATATTATGGCATAGATTTCTAATTTTCATATCTTTTCCTTGGCACATACGCGGGGACTGGTTTATTATTTCTTGAGATATGCCTGCCGCAACGCCAGAATAAGTTTTGTGTAAGCGATTCATTATTTATATATCTATTCCGCAATATAATAGAACTCGAATAGTTATTAGTCTGGAAGCGTTTCTTAATAAACATCATTAATTAACGATTATGATTAATAAATACATTATTTTATTTAAATACATATTAAATACTTTTATTGAAATCATTCTAATAACAAAACATTAACAAAAACATTTCCTCAACGCTATGTAAGCGTATGGAGCAGAAAAAAAAAAGATATTCATTTACATGCAGATGACTACGGAGAGCTGAAAAATTAATAACAATTCCGCGTTGTCACTAATTATAGCACTAAGGGGTAAAATGGAATAAATATGTTAATTTAATTGAATTTAATTTTAATTACTTATGTATATTTGCTCTATCTCTCTCTCTTGAACAATTGCACTTTAGATAAGAGGACACAATAACAAATATCATTTATTTATTTATTAAAGTAATTAAATAATTCTTTTTTTTAATTTGTTTAAGTGTGCTGCCTCTACTCCTCTCTCTCTCTCTCTCTCACTCTCTTTCTCCCCCTCTTTATCTTTCTCTGAGCAAGAGAAAGGCAAGAAGATCGGCGACCTTTTATCGTTATGTAAATATTGAAGTAATATACTAAAGCATTATTGATAGCTCTACTTAGGATTCATTTAGATATAAGTTGCGAGCATTATTGAAGAGTGACGGTAAACATTTTCCTCTTTTTTTGTTTGCTACAGACGAGGTAAGGTAATTAATGTTGTTGCTTGCCTTTCGGCAGCGCACATAATGAGTCATATATGGCAGGACCTTCATTTGGCAAACTTATTCCAATTATGATGATACTTCCTCATATCTTAAAAAAAAGAAAAAAAAAAATTGTTAATGTCAATAAATTTTTGTACACTAAGCTGTCCGTAAGATTAAAAAAATAAATAGCGTAGGAAAAAAGTATGAAAATAAATAAACGATCAAGTAACTCAGAGCGAAGCTGACTGTAATCGATATTCCAGTCGAGTTACAATTTATTCACTCATTCATTCGTTATCACTGATGCGTACAGCTGTTATTTATGCTCTAATATGAAGTGAAAATTTGCTGCTAAAGCGCATTTCAAAATATGTAGAAATTGTTTAATTTTTTTTTTTTTTTTTTTTAATGAAAAATATGTTGTTAAGAATATTAGATACCCCTCGAGATAAATCTTGAATCACTGCCATTGTTCTTGATAGTGGAGGACCTGTCAATTAGTTGGTCGTTCGGAGTATTCGATTACGCGTTTTGATTGAATACAACGTTAGTTGGTATTAAGGTGTTAAGTATTTGCTATGACAATATTTTGGAATTCTTAGTGCGAATGTGTTTGTTTTAAAACTGATCTGTGAACGGCAAGAAACCATATATGAAGAAGAAAGTTGCGTCAAAAAGTCGTGTACAGACGGACAGATTCTCAAATTGACACAGACTTTCATGCTAATAAATACTATTTATTGTCTCTTGTACTCACTACTGCAAACGGTATAACATGTCTAGCATACCACTTACAGTCTAGAATGGCGGACATAATCAAACATAGTGGATACGTATGTGTGCGTTATAGAATAGCAGAAATGAAAGAAACTTAATATTATGTTAATGATGTGCTAGCATTTGGTGGTTGTAGCAACAAACATCACTCCCTGGAATCGTTCGTTTTGCTTTATTAGATTTGATTTATTTGTGGTAAGTAAATAGAATATCATGGCAAAAAAACAAAAACAAAAAAAAGCAATCAATATTTGGTTTGAGTGAAGTGAACGTTTAAATTAAATTTTAACCAAAAAAAAAAAAAAAAAAAAAACAAACCTACCCTGCGTCAAGCCCATTTCACGCTAAAGTGTACTGACGTAAGTGAGTTTTCACGGTATTATGGCTTTACATATATGAAAATGTAGACTCCTTAGCAATACACAATCTAAGTTGGTCAGTTTTTATATAAAATAAGCTGCAGGTGTGGCGTTTGACCTGATTCTCGAATATATATACCCCGTTTAAGAAGGTTTAGAAAATCCATTCCTAAGTTTATTTAATTAGCGAATTCAGGTGACTCTGATGATAATCAGCTTCGAGGAAATACACTTTTTTGAAAACTATTTCCAATGGTTTTAACAAAACCACGGTCATTTCGAAATGTTTCTATGACCTTGATCTATTAATACGTATGGGCCGGGCTTCAGTTTGAAACTCGACTTTTTCAATAATTGATATTTCAACTACAGATAACGGGTATGTAGACACTTTTGTGGACAAACGAACTCCGAAGCCTATGCCAGTCAAGAGTGTAGGCTCAAAGAGATCTTCGGAATTTTGATCACTTTTTCACTTGAAAAAGGCACTTGTTGTGGAAAATTGGTACAGCATACATTAATCAAAATAGTTTCCATCATTTTCAACAATATTTTACCATATTTTTGGCAACGTGGCGATGTCATGTCTAAAGAGCGGTTTGGCAGCGGTCCACCCAGCGACCTACTTCTTTAACTGTGCGGATGCGCGTGTTAGCCAAACCATGCTACACCGATCTGAACAAATGGTAATCAGGAGGCGCCACGTCTGATGAGTACGCTGGATGTGGCAGAACTTCCCATTCGAGCTGCAACAGTGTGTCTTGAACAACGCTTGCAGCAAATGGCCAACAAATGGCCTTTTCAGTCAATTCGAGTCATCGCTATTAAACCGCTGAACCTAAAGCTGACAGTTGGGATATGATGGACCAGTATCACCACAAGCCACTGGACGTGTTTGGCGGTCTTCAACAACAAAAGTAATGAATTTGAAAGAAGAAGAATTTTGAGCGCTCCATGATTAGCGTCGGCGTACGCTGAATAAGTCAACGATATTAAATGGAAAACTTATTTTACGCAGGGCAAGGTCAAAACCATCGGATTAAACCGTTATGTACGCAGGCATTTCCCATTTTTTTTGTCATTTTTACCTGGAGAAGACACCGATCAAAGTTTTTGCAAACACTTAATATGTATGCGCTACCCCACTTGTGGCACGGAGTGTATCAAGGTTGTGCGGACCCATCGGAATCATTTTCGGAACCGATCTCAGCCTATCTGTCCGCCTCAAGTTTCTTCATGTATATCTATTTCCTTTGAAACTTCAGGACGCAATTTTTTAGATATTTCGATAGAATTTGGTACCCTGACGTGCTTGGACCCAAGCACGAACTCTATTGAAAATGGTTTGGATCGGTTGAACTTTTTCAATTGTAAAAAATTATATTCAAAATTTTTTTGACAATATTCGCTATGTAATTGTATTTCATCATTTTAATTAGGTATGAACTAATGTGGTTCGGGTGAAGCAATTTTTTGAACCCTCTTCTCATATAATCGTTTCTATGGAAACTGAATCTTTACAAAGTCGCCTAATTTCTAATGTTTTTTGATGAAAATTTATTCATTACATAAAAATTAAATGAACTAAATTTAAACCATATGGATCTATTTCTTGGACCTCACTCATACATATAAGATTTCTCATGAATAGTAAAATTTCTCGTGATCTGAAAAAGATTTAAATTTTAATATTTAATGATTAAAATTGGTCCATAACCACCAAAATTAACAGTATAAAATGTGGATCACGTAGGCCTACATTTTAGACCCCAATATATGTGGGGTTTATCATGGAAAGTAAGCTCCTTACAGGGGGAGGGAGTATAATTTCCAGTTTTCTACGACGGAAACTGAAAAATAATACAGTTTTTGGGAAATAAATTAAGTCTGCTAAATATGGATCCCGTTATATGATGTGCTGGGCATTTTCTAATATCCGAGCTTTCATGAAAGGTAAATCTTTCCATGAAAATAATGTGTCATTTTTGATTTATTATTACCAGAACGAATGATTAATTGCACTGAGTCAATTTATGTGAGGTATTTAATGGTCGGCCTTGATCGATCACTTAATGGTCTTACTTGTTTTGTTTAAGAGCAAGTAAGCTCGGTTTTGGCAAATCTGATTTCTTACTTTCTGACGTACGTTTTTTTCTTACACGTTTCACTGGCATTAATGTACGTTTTGTTTATTGATTTTATCTTTTATTTTTTGTTTTTACTTTTTTTTTCTCTATTTGCAGTTATTTTAAACAACAAAAAGCGCAGAGAAAACACGCTGCACCCGCTGGTTAATTAGGTAAATTAATTATATTTTCTTTATTTAATTATCTTCTTTTCCATTTGTTAAGAATTGTTTACATACCGTGCTGTTGGCGGTATATGAAGTTTGCTAATTAATGAAAACAATACATATATAGAGTGTCGGGGAGTTGTTGGGAAGATTCATTAAATTTTGCTTAGCATGGTGTAACATTTTATTGGCTTCCCTATGGGGATCGTCCTAAATAGTTTTGTGGATAGAAGCTTTTATATCGAAAGCATTTTAAATGCATGCAAGTGAAAATTTGTACCTAAATATTTCATTTTCTTGGGAACGAGTTCTGTTAGTCCCATGTCGTGAATAGGTTGTGGGATGGTTTATAATAATTTTTTCATTGATTGCAAGCTAAGATTGAATGCCGACGCTCCATGGAAAGTATTTGTGTAAACTCGTTTAATACACGATTACTACTAGAAATGGATGAATGATATGTTTTCAATGTGTGTGTGTGTGTGTTTGGTCGTGTGCATGTGAACCTGTGTGATTGATGATTGATTTTGAGAAAATATTTTTACAACGAACTTGCAAGAGGTTTGTCAAACATTTTCCTGCATTGATTTCTCCGCATTTACATTTCATGATTAATGCAGCAACAATTCGTACACACTCGTAGCCGCGTTTGGTTAGGTAAATGTCATCTGCAGTACTAGTTATTTGAACCTATTATGCCTACGGAAGATAAATTTCTTTATCGGTTTTTTATGTCTAGCAGAATGTCCGGACGTCTGTCTTTTCCTTGTCATAATACTTACAGTAGCAAAAATTGATACAAAATGTTGAGTTCATGTCTAAAAATCAAGTTGTAAAGTAGGTGTGCGCTGATCCAAAACTTGCGTAAAAGTGCTAAAGTAAATGTCAAAAGAGCACGGAATTGTGAATATTTGACAAAATAATTTTTTCAATAACTTAATCGCACAGTAAATATTGATATAAGCTTAGGCGTAAATATTTGTCATAACCATTCATTCATTCATTGTGCAAATAAAGCTGGGAGGTGCGCAATTAGCAAAAAAAAAAAAAAAAAAAAAAAATTTTTTCAATTTTTACACATTTGCTTGAAGTCTGGGTTATCTGAGATCCGCTTGAAGGCGTATGTATACAACTATATATAACTTTCTTATTTGTTTATTTTTATTTTTATTGTAATTATTATCATTTGTGAAAAGTTTTGCGTTATTAAAAAGCTAGAAACGCATTCATAATATGTTGTTAGTTTAAATTGCAGCAATTAGTCTGACCAGCGGATGTATTCTAATTTTCAATTCTCCACACATAGTTTGTTATTGAATGTAATTTATTTACATTTTCTGTTTATTTCATTTCTTTCGCTTTGTTAACATTATATAGAGCATAAAAATCTGATATCAGAAGCAATGGCACACTTTTTTTTTTGTCATGATTTTAGGAAGAATTGAAAGCAATAAAAAATAAAATTCAAAAAATGGGTTGAGGGCGTTAAACGTTGGTGTAGAAAATTCGATGATCGTTTTAAGCGAAGATTATATGTGAGCTTACTATGACCTACACTGGAATGTGTTTCTGGTCGCGTTTCTATGCAGAATCAATGAAATCCTACGGACCTGATTTGTTTTTTTGTAGAAATAGATTACCCTTCACATCGTTATTAAAGCAACTGGACTAACCATCTAGCCTATCTCTTAGAAAAATAATCACTTATTTCACTAGAGGAACCGAGTTTTATCTCCAGCATTTCCTTCAACTCGACTAAAGGACATTTCTTTTTGTGAAACTTAATCAATATAACCTCAGGGCTTTTTGTAAATTGTATTCTTGTATATTGTTGAAATTATTCTCCTTAATACAGATTGATGCATGTCGGCTGTAAATGCACTTCTAGGGTAGACGTGTATAGGTTTCACTTACTCCTTTATTTTCTTTTATCTAATTTGTGTACAGATTTTTCAATTGTAAAACATTTTTATCACCATTTAATCTCGGACGGACATAGAATGGCATAGTTCAAGCCTTTAATCTTAAGTGATGGTCAATCCAATTCAACCTAGATTGTAGCTGAACTCATTGTCCCCTATTGCATTATGTGTTCGATTGTCAACTATTTCTTCTCAAAAAGCCACTCGAGTATTGACTCTTCACGGTATATTATTCGCCTTCAGATACGCTCACAGAAGGAGAATAATTTTCAAATAAGCAATGGTTTGACATCATTTTTAAAGAGAATTGAATGGACATAAATACTGATTAAATGACAAATTCATGTGCATCATCAGCATTGACTTTTTTGAAACAAAAATTTTTGTTTAAAACCGACGGACGATTTCTTCTTCAAGCTTCGACAACGGTTGGCCCGAAAATCTCTGTCTATAGTGAAAACTGAAATTCCTTTGACACGTGATAGACCGGAGTGTCTATCGCTCACAGCAGGTCGGTAATTAAATCATTTCCTCCCAATGTCACACTCGTCTAAACCCGTTTGATGATCATCAACCCTTTTCTCTGTTTTCTAATCAGATTCCTACCCAAAAACGCAAATGATGCCATACCAACCGTTCGGGCAAACCATTGATTAACAGAATTATTTTTTTGAAGGAAGAATTGCATCCGCGCTTTTCAGTCATAGGCATTAGTTTTAGAGCAATACAATGAAGTTCGTCTAAAATATGGACTACGTTTCTTTCGCCTTCTCTAGCTCTGTAAGCCCTGTAAGTCTTGTTGAAATGTTCAATCATTTCAGTTCATTTCTTTGAAAAGTCATAAATGAAGTGGAAATGTGTCACAGCGTCACAGAAGTTCTGTACATACACACAGTTCGCCTATGCGCTGTAAATCTGCTGATATGTATATAGTTTTCATTAGCGTATGATTCTGAATCAATTTAATTCTGAACACCTGTCCGGTCGCGTATTTGTCGATCAGCTGCGAGTGGAACGTTCTCATTTACGAAAATTGAAACGTAAAGCGAGAATTCGTCTTTTATAGATTTTGCTGGAGACTAAAGTTCAGGTTTAAAAACAGACGTGAATCGTTCACAGCTCCTGCCAGCAGTATTTATAAAAGTTAATTTACAATTGATAGCACAACTCGGGATGGAACTTCTGGAGAAATATTTGCAAGAACCATCTGCATTTCATGTGTAAGAATTGTTTAAATCCGTTTATGCCCGCAATAGACCGTAAGCTGGCCAGTAAGATATCCGTGCAAGCTTGGGATGGGAAACGAAAGGTCAGTGGACCGGATCCGGCCAGCTACGTTTAAAACGTCAAATAATTCAATTTGCTCGCTTTGGATTCTCCTTCACCTTTAACTAAAACATGTGCCCAACATTGATCTAAGATCTGCTATTAACATTAGTTAAGGTCAGTGCAAAAATTGTACTGATCGACCAGCTTATGGGCCCGCAATTAACTAACGATTTGACACGTTAGGTATCAAAGATTCGATTCGACTATGAACACTTATAGTTACACCCTACACCACTTGTGGTACGAAGTTAGTGCGCATGCATGCCACACCCAAAAGAACTATTCATAGAACTATGTTTTATTATTTATCATTTACAATCTGAATAAATCGTAGCTTGTTTGTCCGTCTGTCCGCCTCGTTTTTTTTTTATTCACTCTATAAGCCGGAGATTTTTGAGATACTTTGATAAAATTTGATACACTCAAGTGTTTCGGACCAAGGGAAATGGTTCGGGGCGGAACACTTTTTCGGCCACTTCAGAATTTCATTAAACGAAGCGGATCAGTGTGTTCAAGGGTTTGCTATGTTCCGCCACATTCTTTTATTTGTTTTTTTAAATGATTTGTTAAAAATTCACAACAAATGTTTTTTATTTGTTACGTTTTAAAATTTTATTGTTTTCACACATGTTGCCCCCTGCTTTAAAATAATTGATGGGGGAACATAGTGACGAACAATTTAATGAATTTGTCACATTAACACTGCAATAAATGATTGCACTTTTCCAAGTTGAAGTTAAATGATCTTTTCTACGATGATGATTCGGATAATAATGATAATGATCCAGAAATAAAACTGAAAGAAAATGACGCTTAAATAAATACCATGTTGCAAGCATATGTCACCATTTATATATCTACCACCCACGTTCCCATAGCACATGAAATATCTCCCGCAGTTTCATTTCATTCAAATACGCGTCAAAGACCCCATAAATTTATTACATTCACGATTACCAAAAAATTACATGTGTAGTAATCCTTAAGTGGTCGTTTACTCGTCCGCCCCGGGTAAGCATATTATAAGCGAGATATTTGAAATGTGATGTTTAAGTTCTCAGATGAAGTTTTCAAATGCTCCTGCATTCCTGTTGGGAGAGGAGAAAATTTCAATTTCGCGATCACAAGAAAATCAACTTTTATATGAGGACAGCCTTATTAAAAAAACAATGAAACGGACAACATACACATAAACATGAAAGGTAACCTAAGTATACAACGCTTAGGTATGTAGTTAAACATACAGTCATAAGAATTTTCTAATTAAGCTAAAAGTTAAAAGGTAAGAAAATTTTAAGTAAACTTACGAAAATAAATGAATAAAATTCTGTAACTAGTCGTTAGCCAAAATTGAAAGAAAAAAAAAAAAGGAAAAGAAAAAGAAATCGCACAACCTTTCATTTATACTGATTCATAGAGCTTAGAACGTGAAAACCATTCAACTGCAATTACAAACAGATGTTGTACTAAACCAAAGAAAATACATTGCAAAAAACAAAAAAAAAAAAAAAGAAAAAAGAAAGAAATATTTAGCACAAAAGCGCGAAAGTTCATTTTTCACAAAAATCTCGATGTTACGGTGCAAATAAATGAATGAATGACTGAACTGATATAATGAAAGGCGTTCGAGAAATATTTTAAAATTTCAACGAAACACAAAAATGGGTTAAAATGCAAAAATATAAGGTGAGCCAAAAAGTGTCCCCGTCGTTTAGATGCGGCACAGTCCTCTTCTCCATGGATACGCGAAACTAT